GTGAGGGGCCGCGGCCCCACCGGGATCGCATCCCTGCGGCATGGCTGCTTCCCTAAGCACTGCGACGGCGAGTCAAGAAGAGATGGGAGCGTGGGAGGAGGAGATGCCCGCTATGCTGAGCCCAAGGGAACCAGAAGCCGTGCCCCGGGAAGAGGACACGAGTGGCCCTGGCCAGATGGGGACCGGCCGGGAAGAGCCAGAGCAAGGGGAGGACAAGGTGGATGCCCCAAGCACGGAGGTGTTGCACCCCTCAGAGGATGAGGAGGAGAGGGGACCCTGCAGCCCCTGCGGGGAGGACGACGATTTCCAGGGCGAAGGGATGGATGCGCGAGAAGGGGAGTCCCCGCAAAGGGACGTTGAAGCTGCTCATGCTGTCCCCGTGGAAAGCCACCCGGTTTTGCCCATGGAAAGTCACCTGGAAGAGGACCTTGTTGATGGAGAGCAGGAAAAGTTTGAGCATTGGGAAATGCCCGTGTGCGAGACGGATCTGGCTGCAGAGGAGGAAAGCGGGCAGGAGACATGCCCGGGGCAGGAGACGTGCCCGGAGCAGGAGCCCTTGAGCACCCATGAGGCCATCCCAGCAGAAGAGGCTTCACTGGGGGCTGAAGAAGATGCCGTGAGAGGGGAGGACCCGGGCAGAGCAAAAGACGGTGAGGGAGAAAAGGGAGAGGCCGGTGGGGAGGCACTACGAGGAGAAGACCCCCAGGCAGGAGAGGCTGCGGGACCTGAAACCCTGGGGCAGGATAGCAGAGCCCGGGAGGAGCCCGGGGACCTGCAGGAGAATGGCTTTGCGGAAGAGGTGCCGGAGCAGGAGGAGCTGGAGCTGGAGCCAGAGCCGGGAGAGGAGCCCTGGGGCGGGGGGGATGATGGCAACAGCCAAAAGCCCCGTCCAGAGGACTGGGAGGTGACAGCAGAGGACACAGAGGGGGCTCTGGGGACAGAAGAGCCAGCCCGGGCAGATGACACCCCGATGAGCGCAGGAGGGCTGGAAAGCGAGGGGAGTGACGGCATGTCGCCAGCAGAGCTGGAGGAAACCCGGGAAGATGATGAAGAAGACGACGAGAGCCAAGGGATGAGCCAGCAGCAGCCACCGCCGGAGGCTGAGCCGGCCCCCGGGCTGGCGAGGGATGAGCAGGAGGGCACGGCGGGGCAGCCGGCTTGGGCACCAGCAGATGGCCTGGGGCGAGGGGACAGCCAGGAGCTGGCTGGGGCTCCAGAGGAGACATGGGAGGTGCAGGATGAGGATGCTGATGACGAGCTCGGCTCGGACCCGGGACAGCCGGAGAGCAGCAGCACCGGCCCTGCGCACTTAAGCAGGAGCCAGGTGACGGTGCGGAGAGCAGCGAGTCGGCCGAGGAGGGTGCTGGGCGACTGGGAGAGCTGGAGCAGGCACCGGGGACGGGCAGGAGGGTGGAGCTGGAGGACACGCTGCCGGACAGCACGCCCTTGCACCTCTACGAAGGGGAGATGCTGGCTGTGGTCGCACCCAGCCAAAACCCTCCGGAGACTGAGGAGACCACAGAGACAGCCCACACCTCCGAAACAGCTCCGGAGGATGAAGGGTGGCTGGAAGGGAGGGACAAGCCGCCGACTCCCGCCGTGCCAGAGAGCCGCGAAGAGGAGGCAGGGACGGAGGTAGCCCCTGCGGCAGAGGGTGCCGAGGAGGAGGAAGGCTATTTCATGGTCTCTGCTCCCAACCAAGAGGTGTCCAGCTCGGAGGAAGCCGAGATCTCCGAGGACTTTGAAGAAATTAAAATTGAAGCAACCGAAGCCAGCAAAGATGATCTGGAAGCTCCCAGAGAAGCGTCTCCAGTGCCAGAGGACGAAGGGCACTTTGAGGCGCTTGTTGGTGAAGCAGATGAAGGCAGGAGGATGCCCACAGAAGAACCTGAGATGCCAAAGGATGAGGATGAGGGTGAGAATGAGGACGATGCTGGGGGTTTTACTGCTGAGCTCGAGGAAGGTCCAGCCGCGCCTGAGGCAGACCCCGGCTCCCCCAGGGCCGCGGGGCCGTTAGCAGGAGGCACTGACGAGCCAGCCCAGGGTGCCGCAGGCTCCGGTGTGCATGAGGGACCAGCGCGCCTGGAGGGCTTGGCCGCCGAATCGGTTGAGGAGCTCGACGGCACGGTGGAGCCGGAGAGCGACGCTGGCAGAGCCGAAGTGCTCCCAGGCTGCAACCTGGGGCTGGTGGGGCAGGAGGAGGAGGAGGAGGAGGAGGAGGAGGTGGAGGAGCCTGGCACGGCTCACCACGACATGGTGGAGCCTATCCCTCCGGCAGGGCTCCAGGCCCAGGTGATGCCGGTTTCTCCGCTGCCCGACCCAGAA